CAGGCTCGACGCCGTGCCCCAAGGCGCGCAGACAACCCGGGAGAGGAGTCTACCCGACCAGCGTTTGTCCTCGGGGCGCCTGACCACCGACTTCGCCAGCTGCCCGCCGCTCGGCGCGCCGACGATGCGCTCGGCCGTGAACCCGACTACCCTGAGCCAGATGCTCGTCTCCCACTGGAGCTTGAATATCTCATTCTGGTGCACGTTGTGGTAGAGCACGGTCTCGCACATCTCCGCGATCGCTCCCCTGCAGGGCCTGCCTTGCAGCCGTCGTCAGGGGGTCAGCCCATCCGGGCCGACCGCGAATCGGGTGGGCACCCAGCCACGGCGCCCCACGATTCACTGAACCGCGGCGCGGTCTAGGGCCAGCTGCAGCCTGTACTGGGCAGGCCTCTTCTCGGCAACGACCACTGACTCCACTGCTCCTCAATCCTCCTCCATCGCCACCGGGATGGTCACCGGGCACCCTCCCTCGCGCGACGTCACCGGGAAGCAATTGTCCATCCACGCCGGAAGGAAGAGAGTCTCCCGAACCGTCCGTCCGGGATGCGGTGCCTCTCGCCCTCGGCCAGCGACGCACTCCACACACCAGTTCCCGTGCGGCAAGAGCGTCAGGCGGTGCGCGAAGTGCTCAGCTATGGATGGCTTCGCGGGGGCCCCTCGTGACCGTGCCCTCTGCGCCTCCTCCGACCCCGCCTGCGAGCCCATCGCGTTCTCCACGAGGCCATCGGCGTCAGCCGCGCGAGTCGTTCTCCTAGGCCCGCCAGACGCGAGCTCCTCCTCGGCGTGCTGCAGCAGCGGCGGTGGCCCCGCCGAAGACGAGCTCGCCTCAGTTGCCGATGGCCCTGGGCCCCTCGCCACCGCAGGCAGCGCTCCGCCCTCCGCCGTCGGCTGCACCGTCGAGACGACTTCGAAGTCAAAACTCGCGCCCGAGCGCTTCACCTTCAACCAAGACGTGCGCTGGCGTCGGTAGACGGAGGTGACCCTTCTTTTCTGGCCGGATAGTCAGCAGCAGTCCTGCCCGAGGTGCACGGCGCAGCCCGCGCCCAGGAAAACCTGCGCATTCACGGTGGGCCCGTGGACGTCCGCAACGTGAAAGTCGATGCTGAACGCGCGGCCGTCGAGAAGCATCGGCAACCGCCACTTGCTTCGGAGATCCACGGCGCCCCCCGCGGCCGCCTCGCACCTCGGACCTGCACCTCCCGAGGCGTTCACCGCGACGCACTGCGCGAACTCGCTCGAGCACGCCGTGGCCCCCGGGCCCGCGCCGAGCAAGGTCCAGACCGATTCCGAATCGCCCATCTGCGCCACGTCGATTGTCTCCTCGGGCAGGTCGCCCCCGATGAGCCCATCTCGCGGGCCATGCCGAGCCCCAGGCTCCACAAGCCGACGCCGCGGCTGTCGGTTCCCAGCAGCATGGCCAGCCCACACTCGTCACCCGCGTCGGGCCACCTGTCCACGCAGGCCGCGAGCAGCGCGGCGTTCGTCTGAAGTTGGGCCCGCTGCTGCGCCATCTGCTGGGCTGCTGCTAATGCCGCCGACTGGGCCGCGAGCTGCGAGTGCACGGCTGCCATCTGCTGAGGCATCAGGATGGATGCTGACACAGGCTGCAGGTTGGTCGCCTGAGACTGTCCTGGCCGCGGCGGCGAGGGCGGCACGGATCCCGCCTGGGCCACTGGTGCCGCCTGGAACGCCGCGACCCGCACACGCCGCTGACCCTTCGTCTCTTTCTGCCTTTTTTTCCGCCGTCGCCTCCTGCGCCCTTGCCTCCAGCCCACTCGTCGTTGATCCGTTTGCGGCAGTTGCGCGCAATGCGGCCATTGCCCTCGCAGTGGTAGCACCTACTCGTCATCATTGGTTTTGCCCTTACTGGACTTGGGTGTCCCAAAACCGTGTGGTGACAGACCCGGCGGTGACCTCGAAATCCGCAAAGACCTCACCGCACGGTCCGTCACCACACGGTTTTGGGACCCTGGAGGCCCCAGTCGCCCGAGACATCCTCGGAGAACGACCCAAGTCCCAAAACCGTGCGGTGACCCCGAATCCCCACCGACTCACCACACGGTGTGGTCACCACCCCGTTTGGGAGCCCCCGATGGACTTGCCCTTGTCCTTCCCCGGGCGCCTGCCAGTTTTCCCCGGGGTGGTCGTCCTTCCTGCGCGTGGTCGCGTCGACCTCCATGGCGTCGCCAGCTTCGGTAGTCCTCCACATTTTGCTCGCACTGATATAGGCCCGTGGCGACTCGAGGATATTCGGGTAAGTGTCCAAGGTAGAGCCATTCAGCGCCAGGTGCTGGCTGATGGTCGCGTTCTCGACGCCGCTGAGAATGGTCGTTGCCAGGATCATTTGGGATCTCTTTACCCGACTGGTCAGTGCACTGTTTGACTGGCCTCTCGAAGTTGTCGATACTCTCGCTCAGTGGGTCGGGGAACTTCGCGCGCAGCACGGACGAGAGCATCACCTGGAAGCGTCATCGCTGCTTCGATGCATACTCAAAGCCGACACGCGCCACTCCTTCTTCATGGCTACATAGTACAGCTGTCCGGTGGCCTAGGCTAGATCCTGATCCAGGCCACCGCCAGGCAGCTCCATCGGTTGAGCTCCCTTTCTCTTCAGCCTGCGCCAGCAGTTGTGTCATAGACACACTCAGTGCTGCCGCATAGGCTCGGAACGTGAATGACCAGCCTGGCCAGTCCGCTCGTGATCCATCGAACACGCCGGGCTACTTTGTGAGCCTTGTGTCGACTCCTGTCAGCCCCTGGGGTAGTCGGATTGGCTGTGATGCCTGCTGCGCCGCCGCGCCAGCTCGTGGACTCGTGGGGCTGCGCCCTCCGCGACCTCAAGCCCTCGCGCGAGCTCCTGGCTCTGCTGGGCCAGCCGCTCGAGCGGAGCCGTGTAGCGCGGCCCTAGGCCGTGGGGCACAACACGGCTCCGCTACCATGAGTGGACCCCTATCATCCTGTATGAGGGTCTCCTTGTCCTTGGACTGGCAAGGCGCTGAGCCAAAGTGGCTCTGGTCTCTCTCCGCCCTGAACTGCATGCCAGCACGCTATGCTACAGCATGCCATCATCATGCCTGACCGTTTTTATGAAGGGGCCCTGGGACACACAAATAAATACACACACAAATAAAAGGATGCCCCATATTTCCCATCTTTTCTGGGTGTTTGTCTTCCCCCCTGTTTTCCAGAATGTTCTGGGGGGTCGACGATCCATTGTGTCTCTGTGTGTGGTGTTGTTTCCCTCCTGACTTTGCGCTGTCAGGGGCTGGAGGCTCGCGCTTCCCCCAACGATTGACCCGAGCCCATCGGGCCCCAGCACGTGCCCGCCGGGCGGCCGTCCCGCCTCGGACCTCCCAACCGCGCACATCCCGAAGCACAACGTCTGCAGCAGCTACGGAGGGGCCCTGGGACACACAAAGAAATACACACAGATAAAAGGATGCCCCACATCTCCCAAATTTGTTCTGGGTTTCTGTCTTCCCCCCCATATTTTCCCACATTTTCTGGGGAATCGACGATTCATCGTGTCTGTGTGTTTTTTTCCCTCCTGAAGTTAGGCGGATGGCGCACGGACCGTTTTCAAAATCGGGAGCTCGCCTAGGCGCCGCGCACAGTCGTCTGAAAGAAGGGCAACTGCTGCAGGGGTGGAGCGCGCGCCGTGTTCTGATGTTGCTATCGTCTTAGCGCCGCGCACAATCGGCTCAAAAGATCGCAACAGCTTCAAGGCGTGGACGGGGGGGTCGTGCTCAACATGTGGCCTTCGCGCCGCGCCCATATCGTCTTGACCATGGGCAACAACTTCAAGGATGGAGCGCTGGTTGTCTGCAAAACGGCAATCTCGCCTCGGCGTCGTGCACACTCGTCTTCAAGTTTGCAACAGGATCAAGGATGATGTAGGTTGGTTCCTACTCAAAATATGGTCCTCGACTCTGCGCGGCACGCACTCGTTGTGGGCATATACAGAAGTTTCAATGGTGAAGGGATGGCGATTTTGAAAGCGCACCGTGCACATTATTTTTAGAAGTGTCCAGCAGCTTCAGAGATGGAAATGATAGTCGGTTTCAAACTGCGGTTCTCGCGTGAGCACCGCGCACCTTTGTTCTGAAAAACTGCAATAGCCCCCCAGAGTAAGAGTTGTGCCTTCTCAGAGTGGGGTTCTCGCCTTCACGCCACTCACATTCGCACCAGGCGTTTGCTGCACCTGTTTTAAGGATTCAGCACATGCCGTTCTCAAAATGGAGCTATCGCCTTTGCGCCGCGCACATTCGTGCATTAATGCAACGCTCACACAGATAGGGAGCCACAGGCGAACCCTACCCCTACACCCCACGACTTCTGAGGGGGAGGGTTCGCCTGTGGCCCCCTAACAGACGAAGGCCTGGTCTAGTTCCAACGGGGCGCTCGGTGGAGACTTCGCCGGTCTTACGTTCCGGACGCCTCAGCACGAGCAGCGCCGCACGGGCGCAGGGCGGGCGGAGGGAGGAGGAGGGAGAAGGAGGACGAGAGAGAACGAGGGAGGAAGCATGGAGGAGGAGAGAGGAGGGAGGAAGAGGGAGGAGAAGGAGGAGGGAGGAGGAGGGAGGAAAAGGTAGAAAAGGAAGAGGGGGGAGGAGGGAGGAGGAGGGAGGAGGAGGGAGGAGGGAGGAGGAAGAAGGGAGGAGGGAGGCCCAGGGCTGCCACGCGCACGGAGCCGTCGCTGGAGACTCCCTCGCGAAGCCCGGGGCCATCGGCGCGAGCTCACGCAGCAACTCTGCACGGATGGGGGGCGGTCGTTCCTTCGAGAGGGGGACCTCTCTGGACGCCTCGCTTGGAATGTACGAGCAAGGTTCTCCCGTGTCTGATGACGCGTCCAAAATGAAAGGCAGTTCCATCTCGAAGCGGGGCCCTCGCCAGAACGGCAGGCCCGACTGTGCTCGTCGTTCCACGGGCCGCTTCTGGTCGTGGCAGGCGAGCTTGTCGGGACGAATGTGGAAGGGATTTGGGACGAGAGGGTGCATCGCACCATCGCTGGCGCAGCTGTTGTTTACTCTGGCCCTCCTCATCCTCCTCCTCCTCCTCCTCCTCCTCCTCCTCCTCCTCCTCCTCCTCCTCCTTCCTCCTTCCTCCTTCCTCCTTCCTCCTTCCTCCTTCCTCCTTCCTCCTTCCTCCTTCCTCCTTCCCCTTCCTCCTCCTCCTCCTTCCTCCTTCCTCCTCCTCCTCCTTCCTCCTCTCCTTCCTCCTCCTCCTCCTCCTCCCCTCCTCCTCCTCTCCTCCTCCTTCTCGCACTCTTCCGTAACCTCTCCTCCTCCTTCCTCCTCTCCTCCTCCTTCCTCCTCCGCCTTCCGCCTCCTCCTCTCTCCTCCTCCTCCTCTCCATCATCATCATCATTATCATCATCATCATCATCATCATCATCATCATCATCATCATCATCATCATCATCATCATCATCATCACATCAGCATCAGCATCAGCATCATATCATCATCATCACCACCACCCACACCCCCCACCACCATCATCATCATCATCATCATCATCATCATCATCATCATCATCATCATCATCATCATCATCGTCTGCATCATCATCCTCATCCTCATCCTCATCCTCATCCTCCTCCTCCCTCCTCCTCCGTCTCGTCCGCCTCCTCCTCTCCCTCCCGGCACCGGTCCGAGGGAACACCGTGGCCGCTCCAAGGGCAGCCAGCGGGGGGGCGCGCCTGGTGCGCCCGGCACACGAGGTCGAGGCCGTGCTTCCGCAGGAAGCCCTGGACCACGTCCGGCCCGAAAGTGAAGGACACGCCTCTAAAAGAAGAAAAACACCATAAACATGGACTGCTGACGCTCCGCGCGGGTTCCTTGGATCTGCGCTGGACCCCCCCTCCCTGGCGCGCGGATCGCGCCACGTGCGCCAGAGGCGACACGGGGGGGGGGGAGCCAAAATCCGCGCGGAGCGCCCAGAATTTTTATGTTTATGGCGTGTTTTCTTCTTCGAGCCACCAGCGGCGGCGACTGGTGATGTGCCATCGCTCGGACGTCCATTCCCCGTGCAGTGGTGGGTGTCGGGCGTGCTTTTTTCGCAGGAGGATCCAGGATGCTCCTCGATGGTCCCCGCCGAAATGAAATGCGCACGTCCGAGCGATGCCAAGGACCCCCTCGCGGCGAAGAGAGACAACGGCGGAAGATTTTCCTGGCCGCTTCCGGCCTGTGGGGGCCCTCGCCGGGCCCCTGGAGGGAACAGGGGAGACGGATCGGGACGAGGAGCTGGAGAATGTTTTTTGTGACCGTTTGTTTTCCCTTCCTGGGTAAAGGCCGTTACCTGGGGGGGGATCGGGCGGGAGGCTAACCGTAACGGCGGCCGCGGCGTGCGCCTGCCAGGGTGCGTCCAAGACACCGGCGCATCAATCGCATGTGTGCACCGCAATCCTTGTGCACGCGGCAATGCCACATGCCTGCGTGCAACACAGCGATACCTGCGTACACACCACAGTGCCTCCGTACACCACAGCAGCCGCGTGCACTGCAACACCACGTCGCTTTTGAACACCGCATTGCCTGTATACTGCAACAGCTGTGCGTGCAACAGTGTCCGTGTAAACCGCATTGCCTGCGTGCACCAAAACGCCAGCACCGTGAAACTGGAATACCGCAGGATTCTACCTACAACGAATATGTAATACAAGATTACGCCCCTGGATTCTACAGGCAACAGTTGTTTACAATAGGACTCTCAAAAGAAGCCCAATGGAAAATGGAACGCCGATGGATTCCACTGAACACCAAATTGTTATATATGGTTGGGAATCACTATGAAGAACGGAGCGTTTCTGGATGCCACAAAAAACCTTGGCTTGGTTGAAGGAATCCCGATGGAAAGTGGGGCGCTTTCGGATTCCAGACGAAACAAACGCTTGATATAAAATGTTGTACAAGAGCCTCTATGGAAAGTGGAGCGCTTGAGGACTCTACACGCGTGCACCACAACGCCTCCGTACACCGCAACGCCTGCGTACACCACCGTGCAACACAACGCTGGTGCACACCAGTGCCTGCGTGCACCACAGCGCTTGCGTACACCACAACGCCTGTGTACACCGCAGCAGCCGCGTGCAACACAGCGCCAGTGTGCACCACGCTGCCTGCGTGAACCACAGCGCCCGCTCACGCCACAGCGCCTGCGGGAGAAGGCGCGGGACGGCCCAGTCTCTATTTCCTAAATGGCGTTGGGTCTACAATACTGTCGCTGGGTTTACAATCGCGGAGGGAGGCGGGAAGAGGCGGGGGGAAGTGGGGAGGGGAGGGGAATAAGCGGGAAAAGGTCAGATGAAGTAGCGGACTCACGAGGACGTTGGAAGGGCATGGAAAGAGGCGGGGGGCCGCCCAGTCTTCGTTTTCTCCATTGCGTTGGGCACGGCAGGTGCGCGTCGCGATGACGTCGGCGTCGGCTTCGAACACTGCGTGGATCGTTCAATCCTGAACGACCTCCGCTCCTGGAGGATCCTGGAGGCCGTCGACCACATCTCCGATATGGATTTCGCGCCGCGGGCTCGTTCCTGCGGGTCCCGGGGCCCAAAACGGCCCCCTGGGTCGCGATCAACCTTGAACGCCTGTGCTGGCGTCGCCGGCGCGTCAACGCGGCGCGGCCACAAACCCGTGGCCACTGGGAAATTACGCGACCGAAAAACCCACATACTTATATCCTGGCTGGAATGATGATAGCTGAAGTGAAGCATGTGAGAATGATGTTGGTAGCCATTCCCTGCGCACCCCTATGGTGTCGAGAAAGTGCAAGTACCTGACCAAGCACTGCCTCCTTGCATCGTCGTCGCCTCGCTGACGCGGCAAATTGTTGTACCTGGCGAGGAGCGTCCCAAGCCACAAATTCATAAGCTGTCGCTGGTAAGCATGAAATGCGCTGTGTACCAAAACGCTCCCATGCCTGACAAAATACGCGCGCAAACCATCTAGGTTCACCTCGGCGCCCATCTCCAACATTGTGTTCTTGAGCTGCTCGCACAAAGGTGGCAACGCGGTGATGGCGCATTTGGGCGCCACGACAGGGAACTTACCTTTGACGGAAAATCACTGGTGGCCGACAGCTTTCACCTATCGAGCTGCGTGAACTGGCATGAGCCAGGATGGCTACAGCTCTTGATGATGATGATGCTGATGATGGTGATCATGATAGCGCCCCCCCCCACGCTTGTGCACCCTTGTCCTTCTGAAAATGCCGCTCGCCCTACACTCTGAGAGAACCCACCCCCTGCGCACTCCCTCTGGCGTCGAGAGAGTGCCACGCCTGCTATGCCCTGGACGAGAGGCGCGCATAGCGGCCGCGGTGAAAGACCGCCCCCTGCGCACCCCCTCTGGTGTCGAGAGAGTGCCACGCCTGCTATGCCCTGGACGAGAGGCGCGCATAGCGGCAGCGGTGAGAGACCACCCCCTGCGCACCCCCTCTGGTGTCGAGAGAGTGCCACGCCTGCTATGCCCTGGACGAGAGGCGCGCATAGCGGCCGCGGTGAGAGACCACCCCATGCGCACCCCCTCTGGTGTCGACAAAATGCCACGCCTGCGGCGCCTGGACGAGAGGCGCGCATAGCGGCCGCGGTGAGAGACCACCCCCTGCACACCCCCTCTGGTGTCGAGAGAGTGCCACGCCTGCATGCCTGCCGAGATGCGCGCATAGTCGGCCGCGGTGAGAGGACATCCCTGCGCACCCCCTCTGGTTTGTCGATAACGTGCCACGCCTGCTAAGCACTGGACGAGAGGCGCGCAAGCGGCCGCGGTGAAGACCCACCCCATGCGCATCACCTCTGGTGTCGAGAGAGGTGCCACGCCCCCGCTATGCCCTGGACGAGAGGCGCGCATAGCGGCCCAGCGGTGGGAACCACCCCCTGCGCACCCCCTCTGGTGTCGAGAAATGCCACGCCTGCTATGCCCTGGACGAGAGGCGCGCAAAGCGGCCGCGGTGAGAGACCACCCCCTGCGCACCCCCTCCGGTGTCGAGAGAGTGCCACGCCTGCTACGCACTGGACGAGAGGCGCGCATAGCGGCCGCGGTGAGAGACCACCCCCTGCGCACCCCCTCTGGTGTCGAGAAAGTTTCACGCCTGCTAAGCACTGGACGAGAGGCGCGAATAGCGGCCGCGGTGAGAGACCACCCCCTGCGCACCCCCTCTGGTGTCGAGAAAGTGCCACGCCTGCTAGGCTTCGCGACTTTTTGTCGTGGACAGCGGCCGTGCTCAGAGACCACCTGCTGCGCACCTCCTATGGTGACCAGTGCTGTGGTGTGCTGGGCAGTGCTGTGCTGAGCTGTGCTGTGCTATGCTATGCTGTGCTGTGCTGTGCTGTGCTCTGCTGCGCTGTAGTGCGCTGTGCTGTGTGAGAAGGAGAAGGAGGAGGAGGAGGAGGAGGAGGAGGAGGAGGAGGAAGAGGAGGAGGAGGAGGAGGAGGTGAGGCGAGGTGAGTGAGCCTCGCGGGTGCGCCGCGGCAGGGAAGAAAACCAGAACCCCACGAAACATGTGGGGAAGAAGCCTACACATTCTGCATCTGCCGCCCAACCGACCTGCCGCCCTCCGAGCGGGCACCTTGGCAGTGAGTCCGCCTGACCTACGCGCACCGCAAAAGCCTGCAAGCGCCACGACGCGAATGTGAGCACCCAGTCATGCCTTTCAGCACCACGGCGTGCCTGTGAGCTCGGCGCCGCATCAGGTGGGGAGTCTGCGAGCGCCACAACACGATTGTGAGCACCAATGCGTGCCGCTCAGACCACGCCATGCCTGTGAGCACAGCGCCATAACTGCGGGGGGGCCGCTCCCAGCATTTACGGGGGGGCCCAGGACCTCCCCCCCAGCACGATCGTTAGCGTTTCCCCGGGGGGGGCGGTTTGGCCTAGGGAACGAGCGTTACGCCGGGCAAGCAAAAACATCGCTCACTTTCTGCTTCTCGCGATAGCGGCCGTTACCAGCCCTGGCCGCGCCCCTCCCCCCAGGTAATGTGTGGGGAAGGGGAAGGAGGAGAAAGGGGGAACAGGATAAGGAAGTGAGAAGGAAAATGACGCTGGGGGAGTAATTAGGCGTAGGAGACGGATGCCAAGCGTGGAAGGGAGGAAACAGGTAGGAACGGCGGAGAGGAGAATCAACTCACGTTTTTGGGCTTCGCGATAGCAGCCGTTACCGGCCCTGGCTGCCTCCCCCCCCAGGTAACGTCACGATTCGTGCTGACCTCCGAGCTGGCTCTGGTTCTTCCTAGACGCTCGCCATAGCTCGGACGTCCATTCCCCGTGCATTTTTCGATTTCGTGCGTTTACTTTCCGCACGATGATCCAAGATGCTCCTCGATGGCCACCGCCGAGAAGAATGCACACGTCCGAGCGATGCCGAGGACATTCCCAGACGGCGCCGGCGCGAAACGTGACGTTACCAGCCCGTCGACCCCCCCCGAACGCCCGTGATCGCCCAGGAAGGGGAAAAAAAGCGCTCTCTTGGTCCTGCTTGGCGGCGCGCACAAGGGCGTAGGGGGAGGGGGAAGGCGTCTCAGAAGGAGGCTGCTCCCTAGAAGTCGCGGGCCTCGCATCTATAGCTAGGGGCTAGCGCCCTCTGAGAAGCAGGGTGCTCCTGAGAAGCCTTCTCCCCTCCCCCTACTGGAACGATCTCGGCGAGGCGCAGCCGCTGGAGAGCCCCCCGAGGCTGGAAAGCGGCCGAAAACCGACGAAAACGCCAGAAACCCTCGAACCTAGCGTTGCACCAGACCCCAATTCCCCCCACTCCAATAGAGGCCTCCTAGATGGGGTCGGAGTAGATGGGGTCGGATGATCGCGCCGCATCGCCGATACATCGGCGCTTCATCGGCGATGCATTAGCGATGCATCGGCGATGCACCGGCGATGCATCGTCCTCGGCGATGCATCGGCGACGTCGACGTGAAGCAAATCGGGCTGCGCATCGAGCCGCATCGCCGATGCATCGGCGATGCGGCGCGATCCTCCGACCCCGTCTACTCCGACCCCATCTGGGAGGCCGAGATCCAAGGTTGCCCCTGAGGGGTGGATGGCGGCAGCACGTCGCCCGACCGTCGCCCCAGGCTCCGCTCGAGAGGGGGGGAGGAGGTTTCCGCGCGCGCGCCTCGGTCGTTCTCGCCCCAGCCGCTGATCTCCTTCTCCGGGTCCGACCTCTCTTTCGGGCTGGGAGGGGGAGGGGAGAAGGGGGGGAGGAGGAGGAGGAGGAGGAGGAGGAGGAGGAGGAGGAGGAGGAGGAGGAGGAGGAGGAGGAGGATGAGAGGAGCAGGAGGAGGGAGGAGGAGGAGGAGGAGGAGGAGGAGGTGGGGGGGGGGGAGGGGAGGAGGAGGAGGGAGGAGAGAGGAGGAGGAGGAGAAGGCGGAGGAGGAGGAGGAGGAAGGAGGGAGGAGGAGGAGGGGAGAGGAGGAGGACGAGGAGGAGGAGGGGGAGGGGGAAGGGGGAGAGGGGGGGAGGGAGGCCCATCCTGGGCCCAGGAGTGGTGTACACGCCCTCCTGGCGTGTGCACCGACCCTGGCCTCACGAAGGCAGACACCACCGATTCCGAGTCTAGCATTGGCCTGGCCCCGATCGGTGTACGTAAGTGTACGGTTGCAGCGGGGCCTCCGCTGCTTGAGGCCAGCGGCCAAGTGGGGGTGGTGCCGGTGGCCGTGTCTCGGGGTGGCATCTCGAGGCACCTCGCAACGGCGGCGCGGACAACGCCGGGGGCGGTCCGTGCCGCCGATCGCGTTGCGAGGTCCGACTGCATGTGAATTCATGCAGGCACCTTTGGCACCTCCCTTCGGGTTGTCTCGCCCAGGTGTTCTGTCCGGGCACCAAAAAAACGTAAGTGTACGGTTCGCGCCCTCCAGAGAGGGGGAGGGGCTGGTTGGTGCTGGGGGATGGCGGAACGGAGGGGGGAGTTGGGAGGCAACCGGCGGGAGGTCATCGTAGGAATGACTCAGGACTATTCAGCCCACATCTGCGGGCCAGTAAGCTGGAGTCCGATTAGGCCGCATGAAGCCCAAGAGTTAGCTAGATGAAGTGGGGTTTGGCTGGATTGCGCGGGATCGACTGGCCTGACCAGGCTTTCGATTCGACCAGGGATCCACCAGCGCCGATCCTGAATTGAACCTCCCGGGCTTTGCCATCAGAGGGAAGGACCAGGACATCCGATGTCTTGATTTGCCCCATACGAGTCCCCGAAGCACCGACCACCTCCCCGGGGCCGATTTTTCCTCCTGAATCAGTCTTTTGGCGGCGCGCAGAAGGGGGTAGGGGGAGGGGGGAAGGCTTCTTAGAAGCACCCTGCTTCCTAGAAGGCCTCGGCCTTACGTCTATAGAGAAGGCCCGCGCCTTCTAAGAAGCAGGGGTGCTTCTAAGAAGCCTTCCCCCCTCACCCCTACCCCCTTTTGCGCGTTGCCGAGTCTTCTTGACGGCCGCGGGGCCCGGCGGGAGCCCCCGGAGACGGAAGAGAACGGCCGAGGACCTGCCGCCGTGACTGCTGCACGGTGCGAGCACGTCTCGGGAGAGCCGGGGGGGGGAGGGGGGGAGGGCCTGGCTTTAGGTCGGGCCTGTCCCCCTACCGGCGGATTCTGGGCGGAAAAATTGCAGAAACAAAACAACAACAACAACAACAACAACAACAACAACAACAACAACAACAACAACAACAACAACCACAACCACAACAACAACAACAACAACAACAACAACAACAACAACAACAACCACAACAACAACAACCACAACAACAACAACAACAACAACAACAACAACAACAACAACAACAACAACAACAACAACAACAACAACAACAACAACGACAACAACGACAACAACAACAACAACAACAACAACAACAACAACAACAACAACAACAACAACAACAACAACAACAACAACAACAACAACAAAACACCTAACATACCCCCAAATAGTCCAAACATAACCCCAAAAAAGAGGGTCCCCAGCCAGACGATTTCTTTTACTATTTTGGAATCTTCCTCCTGTAGAAGGACACGCCCGACTTCAGCCTGGCTGGCTGGTGGAGCCAGGCGGTGGAGCCCCGGGCGACAGCGCCGGTCTGTGCCCGCGCGGAGCCGCGCGGAGCGCTGAGCATCGTTGAAGCCGGTCCCTATCCCCGCTGGCGCGGCCTGGGCCCCACCGGCCGAGTTTCGGCGGTGGACAAACCTCCCTTATAATAAACCTCCCCTTAGTGAAAACGGCCTGGCACCGAAACCGACGGACCTGGGCCCGCAACAAATGACGGCCGCGACGCCCTCTCGCGAACCGAAAACGGCCAATTCGCTACTCGACGTGTCCGGGCAGGAGGTCTATAATCCACCTCCGAGAGCTCCCCCCCGAGGTGGGGATGCGGGCTGCTCCCTGCGGGCTTCGAGGGGCGCACCCCCCCCGCCGGGGCGGTGGGCTGGCGGCGCCGCGACAGCGTGGCCCGTCGGGGGCGGGGCCCGGCGAGAGGCTGCACACGGGAGCACGGCGGGGGGGGCCCTCCCCGGGAAGAGGCCCCCCGCGGCGGAGCCCCGCGGCCGCGGCGCGCCCCCCCGGTGCGCGCCAGCATCGGGGCCGCGCGACCAGGCCTCGGGCGCGCCCCCCCCGGGGCTCCGAGGGAGGAGGTGCGCCGGGCCGGGCGGCGCAGAGGGGCGCAGAGGCACGCCGCCGGTCCCGGGCTCGGACCCGCAGCGCCCCCCACCGAGGGGCAGCGTTGGCCCGCGTCCCTCGAAGGTCGACTACACGCAGGAGTGACCCTGGGTAAGAGTGACCTTTGGTGCGCGGCGTTTGGGGGGCCGCGGGGGGACCAAACGCAGGCGCGAAGGCGCTACTATCGCATCGCGTTCGGCGATCGGGGAACCCCATTGTGCCCGCACCAAAGGTCACTCCGGCGAAAGGTCACTCTTACGTCTAGTCGATAAGGGGGGGGACTCCACGAAGGGGCACTTCGGCCAGTATAGCCCAGCGAAGCCAATCCTCCCAGATGTGGGCAACGCTGCAAGGCCAGAACGAGGCCCCAGAGCGGCAGCTTTCGGCGATTTTCCAAAACACCCGCTGGTGAGTACCCGTCACGGCGCCGCTGAGTTGAGGGGGGGGGGCGGCTCACCGGAGGAAGCGCCGACCTGGAATCGGCGATGCACTGCCGATGGATATGCGAAGGGCCCCCGATTTCGAACCCGCATGCTACTGGGCGGGGTGGGCTCCAGGGCCCCGAATCCATGGGCGACTGGGGTCCATACGTCCCCCCTGACGCTACGCCCCCCGAATGTTGCCCCCCGGCTCTCGGGTCGCAACTCGGTTTCCTGGCGGCCATTCGGGACGATCCGGGCACCCTGGAACGCCCCTGGCGAGGCGCAGCCGCTGGAAGGACCCCCGGCACCGGAAGGCCCGAAAACATCGAACCCAGAGGTTGCCCCCGAGCCCATGTAGCATGGCGCCCGAGGGGCGGAGGGCGGCGGCACGTCGCCTGGCCGTCTCGCCCGCCACTCCCGCCCGAGAGAGGGAGAGGGGCATCCGCGCGCGCGCCCGGGGCGAAAGCCTGGAAGGTTCCCCCCTGGACCTGTCCCCCCCGAACGTTGCCCTTGACTTAAGTCGGGCGTGTCCCCCTACAGGGGGATTTTGGGCGACAAATAAAAAGGTACTCGAAAAATACCCCAAGAATGCTCAAACATAATCAACAAAACATCGTCCCCAGACTATTCTTTGACTATTTTTGAATATTCCCCCTGTAGAGGGACACGCCCGACTTAACCCTTGACGCACCCTCCTCCTCCCTGTGCTCCCCTTGGCGGGGGCCAGAGCAGGTCACAGAGGAGCCCCGTGTCCGGGACGTCGGTCGGCCGGACCACGCGCTTGATCTGCGCGGCGGGAGAGTATGGCCCCTCCGCTCATCCTGCCTCGTCGTCGTGGCGTCGTCGTCCTCGTCCGCGTCGCCGTGTCCCGAAGATCGAAGCTGTGATGCGCTGTTGGCCCTCGCTTGGCATCTGGAAACCTCCGGAGGGCATCCAAAAGC